GTTAAATGGAAATATGTTCTACATTACCTGGGTCACTCCTTCTGTACTCAATTGCTTTAAGTGACATATGTTGCTGAGAGGTGTGGAGCAGATTAATCAGCTTTTAACAGGGTAACTGCTGTGCATTAACCTGATGGTTGATCAAGTGCTGCCTGGCCCTGGAAAATTTATATACAGATGAATAAGCAGGAAGTTCTACCTGTATTCTAAGTATATTTATATATATATATATATGTTTTAAAATGTGTGCTTAATATAGTATATATTATTTACATCAAAACATCTCAAAGCACTGGAGTGTCAGCTTAGACTATGAGCTCAGAGTCCTACTTGGGGGCATCAACCCACAACCTTCTCATTCTGAGGTGAGAGTTCCATCACCTGAGTAAAGCTGATATCTATTAAAGGTTGGACAATGAGATAAGCATTGTTGTTTTATGTAGCTACAAATCTTTTGATCACATTTTATGACTGGAACTGGTAAAGCGTCACTTAAATAGGTATTTTTCTTTTCTCTTGAGTCACTGGTTGTCTTAATCTTTAGACTATCAGTACTTCTTTTCTATATTTTATTTCTCTTAAAAAGAACATTCAATCAATCTGTTCCTTTTCAGCCTGTTTTTTCCCTACATTTGTGTTGGAGAATGGAAGGTTTTGATTGGCTGAAAAAGCCCATTTTTTTTAAGCAAACAACCAAAATGTGTTGATGGATTTTAGTTGCTTTCTTATCCAAGCAGATCAATCAAACATGTTTTTATTCGTCAAGGCAAGGTTTTTATTTGCCTAAACTAAAACATGTTTGGATAAGGATTAATAATGTCTGACTCTTGATGTTAAGATGAAAAAAACATTTGTATATAAAGTATTTCCACCTCGGCTATTATTATTTTCAACAGAATAAAGCAATTGCATTTGCATCATTTAACACTTATTAATATCCACATTCTTATGAAGTGTCAATTTAATTTTATATTGTTTGCCTGTGTACTGACACTTTTTTGGGGAAGAATCTTACTCATTCACTGGAGGACTAAATTGTTCCAATATGCAAAAGAGAACAAAGAAAAACTATGATCTCAGAACTGTTGCTCAACGGCAGGCTTTATTGATCAAAAATCCCACATATGGCAAATCTTGAATTGCACTTCTTTCTCTCTTGCCCCCCCCCCCTCACAAACACACACACACAGCAAAGAAAGCTGCAAAGAAAAGTCCTAGCAGAGAGCTGGATAACTAGAGAGCACTCTAGGTTTTGAGTGCACTTTGATTGATGGCTGAATGGCTAAGAGAGATGATGACAAATTGTCAAGGAAATTTTACTCTCCTTTAAGGTACTTTTAATGCTGATTTAGAGTTGTTTTTCTAATCTTTTTGCATCAGAAATGGTTTTAATAATTCACTTTCGATAGCAAATTTTATGTATGTGTACTCCATTTATGGCTGAAACAACAATGTAAAGTGTAATATAATCCATACAGGCCGGTGATGATTTCTTCCATGCCATTCACTTCACTTACAAGGTCTTTTTTTCCCCCCCACCACAGTGGGAAAGATATGTGATAAACATTTAAGAGCCCAGGTTTGTACTGCGGAGCATGCATGCACAGATTCTGTTTTGTTGCTATTTCTGTAAGATTTGCCTCCCATAAATCCCGAACAACAACAACTTGCATTTACATAGTACCCTTCATGTAGCATAACATAAATTTGATAGAAATCTCAGGACAAGGTTTAGCCAATCCACTTTGTCCTTCTAATGTGAAAGATGTTTTCTAAATGTAATTTTAATGTTGTTCTATTTGAAAACAACATAAAATTGTTAAAATGTCAGTTCTCCAATGCATTTTGAGGTTGTATTTCAGCTGGTGCTCCTACAAATTTAGTATGAAATTCCTCGAGGCAGGAAATTCCTGAAACACGTATTTATATTTATAACTGGTTCTGCAGTCTGGGCTCAGCATTTGAATACTTTGATTTAAGAGAACTGCCCCGTTCTGTTTGTAATTAAATCCTCCTTTTAAATAATTTTTAAATGTTCATGCTCACTACTTACTTTTAATAAAAAGTGATTACATAATTGTGGCAATATACGTTATGTTGGAGCAGTTTATGTTACCACAAGAGTTGGGGGCAGAGTGCCAATTAAAATAACTCTTTCATCCCCACATTTTTAAATTTCCAATTACTGGATAACAACAACAACTTGGATTTATATAGCGCCCTCCACGCTGGATGGCATCTCAGAGCGCTTTACAGTTTCAGAACCCAGGACCAAGCCAGGGGGAGGGGGTGGGGGGGGGGAAGGTGACCAAAGGCGCGGTCGAAAACAAAGGTCTTCAGCAGAGACCTAAAAATGGGAAGGGAGGGAGCGAGACGAAGGGAGTGAGGAAGGCAGTTCCAGAGCCTCGGGGCGTAATGGCTGAAGGTACGACCGCCGAGGGTGGAGCGGAGGACGCGGGGGACAAGGAGGAAGCCAGACCTGGAGGAACGAAGACAACAGGTGCTGTTTTGAGGAGAGAGGAGGTCAGAGAGGTAGGGGGGTGCAAAGGAGTGCTCATATTAGCTGTATTTGATATTATCCTATTTGATGCTCATATTAGCGATCAAAGTCTTGGAAGGGCTGCAAGAATAAGGTGGAAGTTTATTTGTATGCTTCTTGGTGGTCAACTAAGTGAAGACTTTGTGGCAAGTTTGCCGCCTCCTGTTTTATAACACTGATGAAACATGTAGAAAAACTAAATGTTAATTGCTAATATTGAGGTAGAGAAAGAAAGAAAAAAAAAGCAGTGATATGAGTGATTCTGGTTGGTCCTTATTTTTCCCCACAATCTCTCCCAAACTTCAATAATAATAATAATCCTTGCATTTGATATAGTGCTTTTCACGTCTTCTAGAGTCTCAAAGCGCTTCACAGAATATACTGTAAAGTGAATTGACTGTATATTTGTGGGCGAACGCAGCAGCCAATTGCACACTACGATACAACCTGAAAAGTCTGGAAATGCAAAATTGGGAGAATTGGGAGTTATATTGTGCAGTTTCATTGCAGTGTGATATTTGGGTTTATAAAGTGCAATCTTGCTATAAACACGATGCATTATAATAATTATTATAATCCTTGCATTTGATATAGAGCCTTTTCAAGTCATCGAGACATTTCAAAGCACTTCACAGGATATACTATAATGTGGAGTGACTGTATTTTCTGTGGGCGAGACGCGACAGCCAGTTGCGCACAGCAATGTCTCACAAACAGCCATGGTGTGAGTGACTAATTTTATTTGAGGGTTTGTTTACCAGGCTGTGTACCTAAGTCTTAGCTGACTTCACATGCAGATAATGTACAGTTTCAAGTTGTGATATTGTACGTTTCAACACTCAACTGAAACATCCTAGTTGTACTTAACGAATATACGGAACAATGCAATATTTAACAGACCTTTTTCTCCTTTTTGTTTTTTGGCAGGATGTATGTGGTTCTAATGACGCCACGTTTTTCTTTATAAAACACCCGCTATTGGTTTTATGTTCCTGCACTTTAACCATTGTTTCCTCAGACACTTAAAATGTTCTGGACTGAAATTTTCATTTCAGTTTTCCCATGGGAAATCTAAAGCACCAGCTTTACTTTCCTCTTTCTACAAAGTTGTACTTCTTTGTCTGTTATTCTTTTGGGAATTAATTGTTTGTCTTCAGGGCTTGGGCTCTTTTATGGTAGAAGAAGAGAAATAACATTACCAATAGAATATTGAATTCCCTTTTATCTCTGAATTATTTTTAAACAGGATGCTTGACTCAAAGCTATTTGTAAAGGTGTTGCTTTATTCCCCTACTGAGTAGTTTAGGCACATTCAAAGTTGTCGTACAGCATCTTCTGTTACAGTCTACTGTGTAATATTCAAGACAACCAAAAGACCTAAGCCTGCTGTTTTCTTCTGAAACTTCTTGCATTTTATGTTCATTATTGCAAAAAGATTGGTGTTTTTTTGAATTGCAAGGAACTGACAGTAGAAAAATAGAAGGGTAAAAAGATGATATACAGTACAGAACCCAATGTCTGCACTAATTTGGACTGATTTCCACTGTGGCTGTGATAACAATGCGGATGTGAAGCCATTTGTACCCAAACCAGCTTCTATCAATAACTATAGTGTCATGATTTTCCCACTGAAACACTCACCCATGCCTTTATTACATCCTGCTTAGAGTTTCCCAATACATTCCTTAAATATCAAAATGCTTAAAAGGTATACAATTTTGAGGTCAAAAGGTACATTTAAAATTGCCTTTTTAAGCTCTGTTTAAAGCTCTTAACGCATTCTAAATGTGCTGCTACCATATAGGGAATTTTTTGAGTAAAATACTGACTATTAGAAACCAGACACTGTATTCGGTAACCATTTTAGTTCAGGGTACATTTTATTCCAAATATTAATGCTTCATCAAAGGCAATTATACACAATAAGTGTTAACTGGCTTGATGTACTTTGATCAATTATAATTTTTATGTGTGTGTGTATATATACATCAATTATAATATATAACTCATCACTCCAAGGGAAAGGAACAATGATGAGTTACCTGGAGTGGCGTATTAGGCATATGTGGCTGGGTTATTGACATCATGATGACTTAAGTGATTGTGACAAGTTAAGCCAAGGTCGAGTTATCCGGACTTTACTGTATATACACATACTCCTTGTATTTGGTATAGCATCTTATTATGTTGTCAAAACGTCTCAAAACCCTTTAAATGATTCACTGTAAAGTGCAGTGATTGCATTTGTAGATGAACGAGGCAACAAATTTGCACATAACAATGTCCCAGGAACAGTCGTGGGAATGACCAATTATGTGTTTTTCTGGAATTTATAACTTGTGGTGGTTCTGTGTAATGTAATTTGGGTGATGTCAAAAACTTGTGGCTCAGTCTAAATTAGATGTATTGTTCAATTACATTGAATAAAACAAAGTTTTGAAATGTGTTTTTTTCAATTTAGACAAATTTGACCAATTCTGGGCCATCAATCGAAAACTAATGGAGTGTCCAGGAGATGAAGGAGGTTTCCGGTATATTCCTTTCAGGATATATCAGGTGAGAACCTTTAGCATACCTACATCAACTTTGAAAGCCATAGTTTATTCGCTAGTCATAGGTGCATTTGAAGACGGTTTTGATAATGTTGTGATGTATTTTACTCAGGATGCATTTTACTTGGGGTACAGTTGTAAACCAAGAATATCCTAGGAATTGTAATATTTTATTCTCATTTAAAAAAAAATAAAAGGAATATTTTTCACCTGACAAAATAAATGCACTGATTGACTTCATACTTTAGTGACTTTTCCTTCTGACAAGTGGTAAATTGCTTGCGAAGAAGCCTTCCTTCAAAAGACCACTGCATTCCTCTCCAAAGCAGGTGAAATATTGATGTTTTAAAATTAATAAATAACAACAGTATTGAATGGTTCCTAAATTCCATTCTTCACATAACTGAAAGACTAATGTGCAAAATGTCCTTTTCGGCAATCTATTTTGAACATGCACTTTCTGTCTCATTTTAATCTCAAATTAATCACAAGCCGCTCAGGAGTTGCGTTTTTAGCTAAGCATTGCTGACTCATCTCCGACTCATCTGATGAAAGCTTACAAACAAAGGGGAAGTGCTGTATCAAGTATGAGACAGCAAATTGGTGTCTTGCGCAACTGTTTCCGTGAAATTCTTGGTAGTGAAATAATTTTGGGGTAGTGTAAATTTTCTATGAGCTTTAGCTTGTGCAGTGTTTATGGATACATTTTTTCAATTGACAGTTTCTCATAATGGTAATTGTGCTGGTTAGAACTAAACTTTTTCTAGTTAATACTAATCTCGCCTCTGGGTTGAAAGGTTATAGGTTCAATTCGACTCACAGACTTGAGCCTCCGCTGATACTCCAATGTAATGGTTGAGCATTATGTTGTTGGAGATGCTAACGTTCGGATGGGACATTAAACCAAGGTCCCATCTTCTTGGTCATTAAACATCCCATGACATAAATTGAAAGGAGAAGAATTCTTCCTATTGTCATATTAGTGTAGTCCTCTAGCTCAGTGGTTAGAGCACTTACCTCGCAAGCGAGAGACCTGGGTTCGATTCCCGGACAGGGTGAAACGTTGGGCAAGTTTCCTTACCCTACACCCCTCTGTTTACCTAGCAGTAAGTAGGAACCCGCTTGTTAGTCGATTGGCTTATCGCCTTTCTGACTGGAGAGTGCCAGATATACCAGCATGAATTCTCACGTAACCATACCAGCATGAAGAAGATCAGTAAGAAAAACTTAAATTATAAAGCATAGAGACAAATAGGCAGTTTTTATTTGTAATTATTCAATAGAATATTCTGATAAAGCTACAGATATAATTTGTGGATGGTAGTTCTCTTTCTTTTTCTCTACCACAGAAAACATTACTTTGCTCATCACTGGAAAGCAAAGATCTAGTTCAAATGGTCAGTTCAAGATCTGAAATGGAAAGTAGCAAAAGTCAAAGAGTGTATGGTCTATTTGGAGAGTCATACCATTCACAGGGTGGGGAGTGGGGAGGGATTTGTCTCACTCCGTACCTGTTAAATCTACATGCATTCAAGCACCTTACTCTCTACCACCCCTCCAATCTTTCCCTCAGAATTCTCTGATTTGTCGTCCCCAAACCCTCCCCACGTTCATCTGCGCCCTCCTAGCTTCTCTGTTCTGAATGCCTCCTCATCCTAGGCGACTTCAACCTGCACTTCAACTCCTTCCCTTTCCGCTGCACTGGAGTCGCCTGAACTCCTCTCCGTCTGGCCTACCTCCCACACCGACTTCCTTGGTCACTCTCCTCCACAACTTCCACTTCACCATTCTCGATGCCCTTGCCCCCCTCACCTCTTGAACCACCTCCTACTCGCGCAACTCACCCTGGTACACCAGCCACCTTCGCTCACTCGAGGAGATCCGTTCAACTCCCTCCGCCCTCCAAACTGCCACTCCTCCCCATCTCTCCCTCACACTCCAGCCCCTACCCATCCCTCCCTCCACACTTTCGAACCCTTCCTCTCTCACCACCACTATAACCTGCATGAGGCCCACCACCTGCTCCCTTGACCCTGTCTCTACCCTGCTCCTTACCTCCCAACTTCACCTCCTCGCCCCTTTACTCTCAGACCTCGTCAGCCTCTCACTGTCAACTGGCACCATTCCCTATCAAAGCGCTCTGAGATGCTACCCTGTGTGGAGGGCGCTATATAAGCTGAACGGGCTGCAAGGTGACATGCCTGGCAATGAATCAGAATTGAGCCAGCCCTCTCCAGCAGTCTTAGTAGGCCGGTTTCTGAGCCAGGTGGGTCCACAGTATTCCAAGGCACTGCTGATGACAGTACAGCCAGCCTGGCTCATCGGCAGGACCTGGAAGGGCAGACCAGTCACAGGGGGCAGGGAGTCATCTCACTCAGCAACCTTTAACCTGGCAACAACAAAATTACATTTGTATAGTGCCTTTCATGTCTGGACAACATCCCAAGGCGCTGGACAAACAGAATTTCGGACCTGAGCTGCGGACTGGGGAGGGTGGAGAGCAGGGAGGGAAGCAGGGAGATCAAAAGCATGGTCAAAGAGTAGGGTCTTGAGATGGGTCTTGAAGGAGTCAAGGGAGGGTCAAGGCGGAGAGACTGCAGGATGGAGAGGACGGGGCAGAGTGGCAGAAGGCCCACCTGCCAGTAGTGGGGTGAGCGAGGCTGGGGACGTGAATCAGGCCGGTGTCCGCTGGGGGGAGCGAGCAGGATGGTAGGGTGTTAGGAGGTCACAGAGGTAGGGGGGAGGAAGACCATGGAGGGCTTTGAAGGTGAGGTCTAGGATATTGAACTGTATCCTCTGTGTGATGGAGGCCAGTGGAGTTGGTGAGGATGTGGGTGATAGGTCGCGGAGCCTAGTGCGGGAGAGGACATAGGCTGCAGAGTTCTGGATGATCTGCAGGCTATGGAGGGAGGAGTTGGGGAGGCCGACAAGCAAGGAGTAATGAAAGCATGTATGAGTGTTTCGGTGGCCTGTGGTGTGAGACAGTGTCGGAGCCGGGCGATTTTGCGGAGATGGGGAAAGGCAGAGCGGGTCATGGCGCAGATGTTGGGTAGAAAGGATAATTGAGGGTCAAACGAGACCCCAAGAATCCGGACTGGCTTAGTAAGGTGGAGTGTGCAACCATGGATGGTGTTGCTCTCAGTACCTGAGGTGAGGAGGCTCTGACGGGAGCCAATCAGGAGAGTCTTGGTTTCTGGAAGCCAAGCCCCTCATGAGAAGGGTGGTCCTCGCTGGACAAGCAGTGGGAAAGCTTGCTGGACAGCAATATCAAAGCAAGCTATGCGGTTTTAGCTGGTTAGACTCCAGCAGTACCACAACGCACACCGTGGGGTCCTCAAGCCTTGGCTGTTGCCAACCTGCACCTTATAGTTTCCGGAATTAGGTAAGCAGGATGTGTCCCTCCAGGGAGAGAGTGTGCATACAATTACAACAATCTATCTCTGGGATTTCCATGTGTAGGTGGGATACNAAAAAATCTCACCTTGGTTTGGACAGTCTTAATCATGGTGATGGGTTTCTGCATTATTACAACTCAGAATGGCTTTGAATCGCATTCTTAAATTATTTACTCATAGTCATATCAGAGATAGTTTAACAGTTAGGGTGGAAATAGGGTCACTGCAGAATCAAACATTCTTAAAAACTAACTAACTTTCATAGCGCTTTATATGACAACAAATCACTTAACATGAACTGTTTGCCAAAAGAAATGCTGTGTTTATCAAATTATGATCTCTGTATTGCTGATTTTGATTTTATTTCATTATTCTGGCTTTATTCACTGAATGTGATACAACAATCTATAGTGAATATTTTGTTCCTTCTTACTGACATAGATCCAGTACCTTAAAGCTTGACATTACCCACAGATATTGTTCTTGTTTGCTAATTCCAGTTTCTAAGAATAACAATGAAAAGCACTAAGCGTTACAATTGACAAATATGTGGTCATATCAGAATGTATGATTTGTGGGACTTGCGTAACTATCATGCTTCAGTGGTCCTGAACAGCAGGACTTCCTGTTTTTTTTAAAACCTGTACAGTTACAAATATGGTTATTCTTTTCCAGCGTGTTACAAAATAATAATAATAAGTTGTATAACTGTCAACTTATCTTCCATATTTTAAGATATAAGAACTTGTATCATTATTTAGCTAATAAAGTCGTCTTCATCCATCTTATACTCTGTATAAGAATAAATATGCTTCTGAGAACATAGGAGGCCATTTAGCCCACTGCAGACAATGCCCGCAGAGGTTGACAGATACCATCAGGATTACAATTCCCAATATGTTTTTCCCTCTGATCCACACATCTCCAGTGTCTCATGACAAACTGTCCACGCATGCTTTAGTTAAGTCTGTGTCGTATTGTGTTACCTCACCTTCTGCAGTTAATAATGCCAAATAGCAGTGGTGAGTTTCACTGAAGGTTGTGACTGGTATTCAAGTGCCTCCTGATGTAAGAGGATGACTTGGGTGAAGAGGTGTCAGCTGGCAGTTTAAACAGTGCAAATTCTGTGAAATATACTACATGGCATAAATACAAAGATATGAAATACAACACAAATAAATACCGTGAAAGTTTGATTTTACTGATAAGTAAAATGAAAAGAGCCCGTGTCTGCAGTGGGGGAGAGCGAGTGTCTGCAGTGGGTGGGGGGGGGGGCGGGGGCGGAGAGCGAGTGTCTGTAGTGGGGGGTGAGAGCGAGTGTCTGCAGTGGGGGGAGAGAGCGAGTGTCTGTAGTGGGGGTGAGAGCGAGTGTCTGCAGTGGGTGGGGGGGGGGGGGACGGGGGGGGAGAGCGAGTGTCTGTAGTGGGGGGTGAGAGCGAGTGTCTGCAGTGGGGGGAGAGAGCGAGTGTCTGTAGTGGGGGTGAGAGCGAGTGTCTGCAGTGGGGGGAGCGAGTGTCTGTAGTGGGGGGTGAGAGCGAGTGTCTGCAGTGGGGGGAGAGAGCGAGTGTCTGTAGTGGGGTGAGAAGCGAGTGTCTGCAGTGGGGGGAGA